GCGATTTCTGTACCTTTTTACCAACCTCTTAAAACCCTTTTTATTGTTACGTGTTATTTGGCGTTTGTCTCTACTAACCCAAAATCAATATCATAACAGGATGTTTTTAGCTCCTCTGTGAATGTGCGGTATTGTGGTGTACGCGGGTTTGAGTGGTGATGGATGGGTTCTTGCGGTGAATGGACAAATTGTAATGAACGAATGGGTCGCGATTTTGATCTACGAGGAGTAAGATAGCTAATGAGTATCAGTCTTTCCCCCCCCCCATTTTCACTTAGGCCTTGTGCCCCAATTCGTGTATTATAGCGTGAATAAATACACCGAGGTACCAAGGAGGAGAGCTGATTAGAACAATTGCCATGAGAATATTTATAGAAAAACAGAACAGTGAGAAGCCACATCACGGCGGTGCGAAAGTGACTGAAGTCAAGATGCCAGTTAAGGATCTATAACATTAGAGACACTTTTGGATTTTGTCGAAAATCTCGCGATATTTTGAAGGAGCACCAGACATGATTTGACAACAATATACAAAAACCAGCGAATGGCCGATTGATAAATGTGCAAGATGATTGTTGGAAGTTTTTGAAGAAATCATTTTATCGACACCTAAAATAAAGACTTCTACCTTGCCCTTGTTCATTGTTCATCAGATAATAATAAAATGATTTATTCAACGCCCGATTGGATAAAACTAGAAAAGACCGATGTTAAAGTTAATGGCGGGAAAATTATTCAAAACAAAATGTGAGCAATAGCGAAGTTTTAAGGAAAATGTAAACAAAATTCAACACTTATAATTGAAATGACAAACGGAGAATTGCAATTTCTAGGACGCATAATAGAGAAGCAGAATTTCATACTCAGAAGACATGTTGAAAGCAATAGGGACGGAGGAAAGCAACGAATAAACTAAACATGATTGTCTAACTGGTTGGCAGAACATTGATCAGGAGAAACAGCAAAATGTCAAACCTTCCTAAGTGCAAGAAAGGACAGGAAATTGTGGAGAAACATATAGAAAGTAAAAGTAATGGCAGAAATATTATTTGAATTAAAAAATACATCATTCACCTTTTCAGTGAGCGTCTGATATATGCAAGATTTGGTTAAGCGCGTTTTGTGTGCGTAGAGTCAAATCTGACCAGTTTTATTTATTTATTTATTTTTGTACTGGCACAAAGGACTTTTAGGGGATAAAAATGGACGAGGTGAAAGACAAAGGACTAAATATATATGTATCCTAGTTTAAAAGCCGCCATGTCGGGCGTTATTTAAGACAGCTACTGATTGGGCCTTCATCACAATAGGTACAGAGAAATAGATTCGATACGTATCTGTCTATATTTCTGAGATGAGGTATTATGTACACTATTTACATTATATGACAATTGTCCTCATCTTCGTCACCATATTTGTTACAACGTTTCGGCCGTTGTACGCTCCGGTCTTCTTCAGTACCTTTCTATATTTCTGAGATGATGTATTATGTACAATATTTACATTATTCGGACTATTATCCTTATCTTTGTCGCCATATTTAGTACAACATTTCGGCCGTTGTACGCTCCGGCCTTCTTCAGGTGGTTGGAATGTCGAACTAGCGCTTTATTTCGGTCACTGGAGTAGACTATTCTAGTTCCACGTGCCATGTGCAATAGATGTCAGTTATCAGTTATCTCCTGTTAATTCCCCTATCCAAATTCTCCACACAGTGGATAAAGACGTTAGATAGATCCAGTGACAGGAGTGTGAGTTCAATACCTAGTTAAGGCAGTGGAGAACTTGGAGAGGGGAATTAACTGACGTCTATTAAACATGGCACGTGGAACTAGAACAATCTACCCCAACGAACGAAATAAAGCGTTCAGTTCGACATTCCAACCACCTGAAGAAGGCCGCAGAGAGCGTACATTTGCCGAAAAATGGCAACAAATGTGAGAACAATAGTTCGAATAATGTAAATAGTGTACATAATACCTCATCTCTGAAATACATACATATATATATATATATATATATATATATATATATATATATTCACGCCGGTAAATGTAATTAATACTGTTTTATTAAATAAAACGAGCATTTCTTGAGTAAATTCATCTATTACAAAAATACGTATTAACAGAAAGAATACTAAATTTGGATCCATTTCATAATATGTTGTTAATGTTTACGTTAAAGTACGTTTCTGTATCAGATGTGATCGTTCAAGTAAGATCGTCGAAAATTCGTTGTTTATAAACTGTAATTTGGACTTTGCTAACCAGATGCTTCTCTGTAGCTGAGTGGTATAGCACGTCAGATCATTTGACGGTTCCGAAATTTCTCGAACATTTAGGCCAGGAAATGTAACTGATATTGTTTATTTAAAAACTGAGCATTTACTTAAATTAATTTTATCTATTAAAACCACGTATAATCAAAATATATATTAAATAATTGTCGGACCTAATCCAATTCATAATATACATACATACATATATATATATATATATATATATATATATATATACATTGAAATCAACAGGCAGAACCGACCGTCTGTTTCATGTGCATTATGTTTTTGCTCGGTTATTTTATATATATATATATATATATATATATATAGGTCAGTGATAGTCTATTTTATTATTCCAACGGTTATTTTGGTGGGCGGTAACAGTTATGTTTCAAATTATTCTACGGGTTATTGAGTGGGAATAATTGTGGGTCGAGATGCAGGTTTTTGTTATTTTTTAATTTTTTTTTCCTTTCTAATTAACCCATAGCAGGGGTGGACAATATTTATGTCTTTCCCAAGAAGGTAAATGAATATAACGAACCCAACCGGAATTGGAACTTGGTCCTCCGATTTCGAATTCTGGTTCATTATTCCTTGTACCAGCGCATTCACAGCGCCTGGTATTCCCAAGCGGTCACCCATCTAAGTGTTGACTAGTCTCGATGGGGTATTACGAGAACCATTGTTTCAGCGTGATGTGTTCGCAACCCTGTCATAAATCGAGATGTCCTGTTAAGGAAAAAAAATGTACCTCTCCCGACAGAAATCGAACCTGTATACCATTTCCCGTCAGATAAACCGCTTCTATTTTCGATTCCTAGCGGGATGCACAATTTTTCTTACGCAGAACTTCTCAATCTAGGCCGCTTGTTATTAATTTGACTGTTTAAGAAAATAAAAAGCTATAGCAACTCAAACACGTGTATCTACTAAAAATAATACCAATATATATATATATATATATATATATATATATATATGTATAGACATTCTCTGCAAGCCACACGCTTGTTCAATATCCATTTGTTTTCCTTTGCTGCATTTCGTTGTTACACTTCATATTTCTTGGCTAATCCTGACGCGCCGCCCAGCGACAACCATGCCCAAAGATGGCGGCTGACGTCAACGCAAGATGATCAATTTATCGAGATAATCCATCGGGGACATATTTATCCCCTGAAATGCCCTAACCGACGATGACACATGTTAATCTGATAACACACAGATCAGTTGCTTGTCACCCTGCGTCAGAGCGGATTGTTATAACACGCGAATAACAGATGGGAGAAGCAAGTGACCCAGGTATCTTATGTACGCCAATCGGCCGACCAGCATCTTCCATCACACACCCGGTGCTGTCCGCCTTGATAGAAAATGGCGGCGAAAATTGAAAGAAAACAAATTCAAAAGTAGAAAGGGAGATAGTGAAAGAGGAAGGGGAACATACGAAAATAAAGGAAGAAGAAAAGGAAAATAAGAATTTAAATCTAAAGGTAGGCGAAAGTAAATAGAGAAAAAAAGGAGAAAGTGTAAAGAAAGGAAGAATATCAAAGAAAGAAAAGAACGTAGAAGCGATTAAAAAGGAAACAAAATGGAAGGAGCAAAAATGAGTGAAAGAAAGAAAGATGAAAGAGACATAACAGAAAAGAAATAAAAAGAAACGGATTGATAGAAAGGAAAAAAAGTGAAGGGGAAAGAAAAGAATGAAAGAAAGAAAATAAAATAAAAAAAAGAAGAATGGAAAGAGAGGGAGGAAGAAAAGAAAGGAGAAAGGGAAAATGGATAAAGAAAATTAACAGGCTTGAAAAAAAAACGAATATATTGACGGAAGAAAAAAATTAAACAAAGGATCAAAAAGAAAAAGAAAAATGAAAAAGGAAAACGAATGAAAGAAAGGGAGGTGAAAAAGATAAAACGATAAAAGAAAAGGAGGAGGAAGCAAAAGAATGACTGAAAAGGGGAACATTGAAGGAAGAAGAAAGAATCGAAAGAACGAAAAGAAAATTAAAAAAAAGAGAGTAAGGAAAAAAATCAAGGATAAATGGAAAAGGAAAGAAAAAGAGAGAAATATTGAAAAGAAGAAGCTAATATTTAAAAAAAAAAAGGAAATAGAAGAAAGACGAATGAAGATGATAAAGACAGATGAAAGAGAAAAAAAATGAAACAGAAAACGAAGAATTGATAGAAAGGAGCAAAGGTGAAGAAGAAAGGAAAGGAGCAAAAGAACTAGAGAAAGAAGGAAGTGTGAAAAGAAAGCATGAAATAGAGGAAGGAAAGAAGAAGAGAGAAAAGAAATAAAAGAAGAGGATGGTAAGAAGCGAATGAAAATTGAAAAAGAAAAAAGAAAAGGACAAACGAACAAAATGAAAGAAAATGAAGGACATATTTGAATGAATTACAGAAATATGAAAAATGAAAAGATAGAAAGGAAAGAAAGAAGGAGCAATGGATGGAAAGTGGGAAGGAATAATTGAAGAAGGAAAAAAAGATTGAAGGAAAGGAATGAAGGATAGGAAAGAAAAGAAGGAAAAAAAGAACAATAAACGGTCAGGAGAAAAAGAAAGAAAATAATGATTTGAAACCAAAGAAAACAAGGAAACTAAGATGGAAAGACCAGAGGAAAAGAGGAAAGGAAAGAAGGAGAGAATGACCAAAGGAAAGGAAGGAAAATGGTAGATTGATAGTAGGAAGAGAATTTAAGGAGGACAAACTATTAAGGTGGGCGTAAATAAAAGTGCATGGAAGGATGGAAGGAAGGAAGGAAGGAAGGAAGGAAGGAAAAGAACGGAAGGAAGGAAGGAAGGAAGGAAGGAAGGAAAAGAACGGAAGGAAGGAAGGAAGGAAGGAAGGAAGGAAGGAAGGAAGGAAGGAAAAGAACGGAAGGAAGGAAGGAAGGAAGGAAGGAAGGAAGGAAAAGAACGGAAGGAAGGAAGGAAGGAAGGAAGGAAGGAAGGAAGGAAAAGGAAGGAAGGAAGGAAGGAAGGAAAAGAACGGAAGGAAGGAAGGAAGGAAGGAAGAAAGGAAAAGAACGGAAGGAAGGAAGGAAGGAAGGAAGGAAGGAAGGAAGGAAGGAAGGAAGGAAAAAAGAAGGAAGGAAGGAAGGAAGGAAGGAAGGAAGGAAAAGAACGGAAGGAAGGAAGGAAGGAAGGAAGGAAAAGGAAGGAAGGAAGGATGGAAAACAACGGAAGGAAGGAAGGAAGGAAAAGAACGGAAGGAAGGAAGGAAGGAAGGAAGGAAGGAAGGAAGGAAGGAAGGAAGGAGGGAAGGAGATGAGCGAAGAATTAAAATACGTTAAGAGGAAAGAGAACAAAAAGAGAATGAAAGAAAAGTTACAATGAAACGAAGGACAAAAAGGAAAAATAAAATGAAAAAAAAAGGAAATGAAAGAAATGAAACAAAGGTAGGAATGAAAGCAAAAATGGAAAGAAAGAAGTAAAGAACGAAAGGCAAAAATGAAAAGAAAAGGTGTAGAAGAAAGAGCCTCGGTGACAAGAGAGACGAATTCGGGGAAACAAAATCAAAAGATCACAACTCACAGACCATGAAAACTGATATCAGAACTCACACAGACTGTTATATTAAAGAATCAACCTTGAAGTGAGTTTCGTCCCATCAGTGTGCTCCAAAATTGTAACCTAATATAATAGATGTATCATATAAATGAAGGCCCTATTCCGTATTTCTACAGTGGAGCAATGCTTAGCAATGTCATTTCATACACAATAAACTACCCGAGATCGTTATCTCACTCTGTTCACAAATCCCCCGCTCTCACTATTTCTCTCTCTATCTCTCTCACTCTGTCTCCTTCTCAATTATTCTCTCTTTATCACTCGCCCACTCTCTCACATTCGCTCTATCTCTCTGGCTCTCTCACTAACTCTCATTCATTCACGCTATCTCTCTCACTTTCACTCATGCACTTCTCTCATTTACTCAGACAATCTATCTCGCTGTCTCTCTCACTCACTTTTTCACTTCTCACTTTTTCCTATCTCTCACTCTCTCTCCTTCTCTCTCTCTCATTCTCTCTCATTCCAATGTATCGATATTTTTGTAAATATGTGTCTAAATTTGTCCACATCTATCTAAATTGTTCAACTCTACCTATATGCTACTTCAGCAACGAGATATATCTTAGATAGATAGATAGATAGATAGATATGGACAGACTGCGATAGATAGATAGATAGATAGATAGATAGATAGATAGATAGATATGGACAGACTGAGATAGATAGATAGATAGATAGATAGATAGATAGATAGATAGATAGATATGGACAAACTGAGATAGATATGGACAGACTGCAATAGATAGATAGATGAACAGACTTGCTGTATTCACGAATTTTCGGTTGTTGTACGCTACGGTCTTCTTCAGCTGATCGGAATTTCAAACTGAACTTTATTTCGTCCACCGCGGTACACTGTTCTAGTTCCATGTGCCATGCCTCTTCCGGATGTCACAGTATTAGTTATCTCCCTTTAACTCAACTCTTCAAGTTTTTGTTCACCTCTGCTGTAGCCAGGTATTGAACTCACAACTCTTCATGTCATAGAAACGGATTAAACTAACGCTTTTATCTACTGGGTCATGTGTCCTTAAGGGTAAATTGTTCTAGTTCCATGTGCAATGCCTCATACGGGTGTCTCACAAATAGCTTTCCCAGTCAATAAAAGCGTTGTTTGAATACAGTGACTTGACCTAAAGAGTTGTGTACTTGGCCACTGCAGTGTTAGGCAAAAACTTGGAAAGTTGAGATAATTGATACTGAGTCATCTAGAAGAGGAACTAGAACAATCTCCCCAGGCGGACGAAATAAAAAGGTTAGTTCGATATTCCAATCATCTGAGGAAGGCCGGGGTGTACAACGGTTGAAACGTCATTAATATGTCAACAAAGACGAGGACAACAGTCCGAACCATGTAAATAGTGTAAATAATTACAATACCTCATCACAGAAATATATAGAGAAATACTATCTGGCTTTACATAAACAGCAAAGAGTTAATGTGCTGTAGAAAATGAATGAATCAATCAGTTTCCTTATAATCACACAGCATCACACAGTGACATTCTACCTTGAGTAGCTCTTGGGCCTTGGATGAACATTAGTATAAAAAGATAGATAGATAGATAGATAGATAGATAGATATGAATAGACTGAGAATATACAATCATACACACATTAACATATAGACAGATTATAAAATATACATCTGAAGTGATTGAGAAATAAATACATATCTGCCTATATCTCTGAGATGAGGTATTATGATTATTTACATTATTTACATTATTCCGACTGTTATCCTTATCTTCATTACCATATTCACAACGTTTCGGACGTTGTACACTCCAGCCTTCTTCAGGTGATTGGAATTAGAATTTTCTTGAGGACATATAGCCCAGTGGATAAAGACTGCGGTTAGATCCAGTGACTAGAGTTCAATACCAGGTTACAACAGAGGCGTACCAAAAAAACATGGAGAATTTATTTAAAGGGAAATAAGTGTGACATCCGGAAGAAGCATGGAATGTGGAACTAGAATCCTGGTGGATAAAATAAAGTAATCGGTTCGAAATTACAATCCCCTGAAGAAACCGGCGCATACAACAAACGAAACGTTGTGAAAATGGCAATGAAGATGAGGATAACAGTTCAAATAATGTGAATAATGCAAGAAATCATAATACCTCATCTCAGAGATATAGACAGAGAAACATGACATAAAGGCCGGAGCGCACAACGGCCGAAACGTTGTGAATATGGCAATGAAGATGAGGATAACAGTCCGAATGATGTAAATAATGTAAGTAAACATAAAACCTCATCTCCTAGATATAAACAGAAAAATATGACAAAGTCCAAAGCGTATGACGGTCGAATTGTTGTGAATATGGCAATTAAGATGAGGATATCAGTTCGAATAATGTAAATAATATACATAATCATAATACCGAATCTCAGAGATATAGACAGAGATATAGAAAGAGAAATATGACGTGAAGGCCGGAGCGTACATCGGCCTAACCGTTGTGATTATGGCACTGAAAATGAGGATAACAGTCCGAATAATGTAAATTATACAAGTAATCATAATACCTCATCTCAGAGATATAAACAGAGGAAGAGACCGAGGAATAGACAGAGAAATATGACATAAAGGCCGGAGCGTACAACGGCCGAAACGTTGTAAATATGGCAATGAAGATGAGGATAACAGTCCGAATAATGTAAATAAATAAATAAATAATGAAAGAATAATTTTGATTGGTAGACACTGTAATGCCGTGATTTTGTTTTGAACTTCCAGTGAAAGATGATTTACATGTATCAGAAATGGTCCTCTTTTGTCTCAAGAAATCTCTCTTCAAATGTCTTTTTTCCACTCAAAAGCAGAGGTCAACGTTTAAACCCAGGAACGACAGTGATTTCCAATGCTAATTTTCTAGGCAAACAGACAGTTCCTCCTGCAATTGAAAGATTTAGCTAACATCATCTTCTCTTTTCTTCCATTTGGCCTTCTACCTTACACAGCTCAACTGGGAAGATATTGACTTAAGAAATATCCCAGTAACCACCATCGCAAGCAAACAAAAGCGTCTATGTGTGAACAACTTCTCTTGCACGTGTTGCGGGAGTGGAATCCGATACAATTCAATCGAAATTACTTCATTCTCTCGGGAAATGCCTGGTCGTCTGACATATCCAAATTAGCAGACGACATTTGAGAAGAGAAAGAATATATTGTTGCGGTTACAATAAATACTACGTTTTGAACACAGAAACGTCGTGTTCCCTTTATAATGACACCTCTCTCATTAAATATTCAGGAAGCCCTGGGTCAGTTTTTTTTCGGGGCAATATTGCATACGTACATTGTTAAAGATATGTATCATCACGAGAAAGACAATTGCAAAGAGGCGATAATTTGTTGGAGTAGATTTGAAGCAAAAAGTAACGACTTGTATGTATCTGTGTTAGAGAGAGAGAGAGAGAGACAGAGAGAGAAGGAGATGGAGGGAGGGAGAAATATGAGAGGGAGGGAACAGGTATGGAGAGAAATGGAATAATGGGTTGGGGACAGGTAGGGAGATGTAATGATGGGGAGGGAAATAGTAGGTAGAGGGAGAGAGAGAGGTAGAGAGAGAGGGAAGAAGAAGAAAGGGGTTGGAGAAAGTGAGAGGGGAAGACAGAGGGAGAGTAAGAGACGTTGTGCATAAGTTTCTTGTTTTGAATAATTTCATCCCAAGCAGAGCGATAACGACCCGAAAACGCAGCGGGTCTTCTGGGAGTGGTAGACAATAAGAAGACTTAGCAAGGGGAAAGGACAATAAAAGAACAAGTTTCATGGAAGAAAAGATAGCGATTGATATTGCATTAACATTTTTAAAGAATTTAGGTAGCAGAGAAGCAAGAAATCGAAAGATTGTTCCACAGATGAGAAGTGCGAGAAAAGATATTAGAATATATATATTGTGCAAATTAATGGAAACAACCGCTTTAGTTTCCTTTCTTTCACCATACGGTCAGTTTTAGACCCACAGAAGTGACAGGGTGTAATCGATTTCTATTTTTTTCTCCGGATTAGGTCATTTGCAGTGATGTGCAGTTATATGAAACTATTTTCGGGGTGTATAATGAAATTTGTTTGACCTTGAAAAATTTTGCGTCATTAGTATTGCATCAAATCGAGGTATTATCGACTGGCTGGAAACTTTCCGGATTTAAATCCAAACAAGAATCGGTGGTCAGTCCGCAAGGAATGACTTCGTGGAATGGATGTACGAAGTACTAGGTCATGTTTCATTCTTAAAATACGAAAAGAAGTAAATAATGACGGATTTCTTCTTTTTTTTTCAGTTAATTTGAACGAGGGTGTAGCTAGTTCAACAGTAAATCGATGAGACCTCTTTATCGATCTAGAAGTGCATTTAAATTCATGCAGTCCCAACACCAAAGAGGAGAGTTTATTAAAACAAGTGCTATGAAAATATACCAGGTCATGACTGATTACAATACGGAACCTTCTTTGGATTTTATCGAGAATCACAAGATATATAGCCGGAGAACAATACCTGATATGGCATCAATATTCAATGTACGGTCGAATGGTACATTTATAAATGTGCAAGATAGATTCGGAATTGAAGAATTGTCTACCCCGACTGAGTGAACAAACACTCCTTGCAGCAGACCTGGCGATTGATTCAATATAATCATTCCACTTCACGTCAGAAGAAAACCTGTGACCAATAAAGCGCAAGGAGTTGCTCTCCTTTAGGTTAACATCAGCTATGCTACTGAAGGCAAAATTGTTTCTCTATGAGGATTATAGGATAGCAGTTTCGTTATGTATGCATGTATGTGTCAATGAGTTTCTATGTGAGAGCGTGTGTTTATATATACGGCGATCTTTTCATGGGATTATGTATATCTGTGTATTGTATGCTTGTGTAAAAGTTAGTTCATTTACACAGACTTTCAATACAAGACCTAAGAGCCACTCAAGTTAAAGGGTTTCTAAACGAGGTTGTTGTAAGTGCATACAAGGAGGGAGAAATAGGTGGATATTATGGAGATATGTAGGATAGACATCTGTTGATAATAGACTTGAAGTGTATAAGATCATAATGATCGAGGAACAACATTCCCAGGTGTCCTTACCACAATATAACAATTCTGGGGAATGAAGATGTTAAAGTGGATCTCCATCCTTACCAATAGATATGGAAAGGAATGACAAGTCAACCTCTTGTACGTGGCTTGGTGGGTGCTAGAAAAAATGCATATGAGAAACTAGGATTCGGAATAAAAGATTATATGAACACAAGAGGAACATTTTACAAAATAATACGTCAAATGCATTGGTTGCCCATTGTAATGAGACTGACCACAATTTTGCCATAAAATCTGCTACTCTGATCAATGGAGAAATTAATTCACTGTCTAGAGAGTGCCTTAATTGGTGGGTAAATCAAGGAATGCATTTCGCCCGAATATCAGTTATGAAAATAGCGATAGAGTAGCGAGAACCTAGTAACGTTTCGACTCAGCGAAAAGGGGTTGTAGATTGGAAAACATTTCATCCCTAACAAAACCCATCGGGGAATCTTTTGCTCTGACACAGATATAGAAACAATACTCCCTATTTGGTCTGATCTGAACCTTGTGAAGCTGGAGGAATCAAACACTTTCAGGAGCAGCACAAGTAAGCGAAGATTTTTTCCAGTATATTCAATGCAAGGAACCCCATTGAAAGAACTATCTTTCATGACTATATATATATATATATATATATATATATATATATAGTCATGAAAGATAGTGGCCTGACGATTGCATCTAGCATGAAACAAACTGTCGCCTCTAAGTGTTGACTTCTATGTTCACTTTTACATTTATATATATATATATATATATATATATATATATATATATATATATATATATATATATGATTATTTATTTAAAAATATGATTCCAACACGCTACATAAGTGTTCTCGAGCATTATTTTTAAAATTAATAATAAAAAAATACAAAAGACTTTTGGATTATTTACCTAACGAGTTCTTTCCTATTTTCTAAATATTTTTCACACACACACACACACACACACACACACACACACACACACACACACACACACACACATATATATATATATATATATATATATATATATATATATACGTAACACAAAAAAAAATTCGCTTGAAGATGGAACAGAGCTTAGTACTTTAATTCAATTTAATTCAAATATTTATATTGAAGTTTTCGGCTCTTGTTTTGAAACATGAGAACTCTTATGTAGCGTTGGAATCATATTTTTAAATAAATAATTATATTTAGGCACTACTTATGTATCGAGCAATGTTTTTTAAAAATAATAACAAAAAATACGAATGAACTTTGGATTATTTACCTAACGAGTTCTTTCCTATTTTCTATATATTTTCACACACACACACACACACACACACACACACATATATATATATATATATATATATATATATATATATATATATATATACAGACAGCCTGTTTCGCTGTATCACAGCTCATCAGTGCGGCTTGACATCCGATTGCTTCAATCGAAACTCATAAGGATCGAGGAACAACTCGCAATGAGAGACTCTACCCTAAGCTATCGGCGCACGGCAGAGAAAGGGAACCTTTTAACGTATTATATACGTCATGTATATAAATCCTAAACCAGCAGCCAGAACACTCACATTCTAACGAAGAGTAATGCATTAAGCATGGGCAGCAGTTGTGGCCACTTTCTAGTGCTCAATCGGCGAACGTGTGTCTGTGTGCGTGTGTGTGAGAAAGAGAGGGGGTAGTGAGAGAGCGTACGTACGTGTATGCGTAAAATTGAGTTTGCATGTCACCAAGTGAGGGGATGTTTTGTACATATATGCTTAGTTACATTCCATCAGCTTGTTACATTTGATCATCACTGATATGACCCCGAACCATCAGAATGAAAGGAGGTCCTCTCGGGGAAGCACCGTGCCTAGAAAGACTGACGGGCCTCAAACTCACACCCGACCTAAAGTGGAATTCCTACATAAGCTCCATTAAGCAAAATGTTCGCCTCTCTGTACTGCTCTAGTAAGTACCTGACTCTTCCGGGTACCCTGTACTTTTACAAGAGTCAAATCAGGCCTGAATGGTGTACTGTTGTGATATCATGTTGTCATGTGAGATCTGGGCGGGAAGATGTAAGAATGGTTAAAATGGTCGCGTTCAAGTCAGCTTTGTGCTGACTTGGAACAACTAAACTACTTCATGAGTGGAACTGCAAAACACGCCCGAACGCTCTGTGTTGGCAATGGGAAAGAGAACGGTTCTATTCTTTCTGGAAGTGTGGTCATATAATTGTGAAGAGGAACAAAAAACATTCCTATTTCATTATTACTTGCATCATGGAAAAATGTATTTCTTTTTTATTGTTTATTATTATTTTATTTGTTTATTTTATTTTATTTTTTTCACAGTACAGACTTCAGCATTATTTGGGACTGAGAGAATACTGAGTAGTGTGCTATAAATTTGAATTGATATGTTCTTATTCAGTCTTCAATGTGAACAAAAAATACAACATAATCTTTTTAATACGACGTCAATTCAGGATGGATGCGGTCGTGACTTTCCATAGATTCTTTTTGTTTTTGTCTGTGAATAGCCATGAATTTGGGGAAAGATAGTTGAATAGTTACTCGTTACCTTTTTGAATTCAGCGTAATCCTTCTGCTAGAATGGATGCTAACACTAAAACAACAGCTTGAAGGAAAAGAGATTAATTCATGTTTCAAGGACATTAATGCGAAAGAGATCCCAAAACACTAGGTATGAATTTAAACTCAGCTCTCACCGATTCGACGTTCCGCTCCCCGCACATCCGAACAATAATAATAATATTTCTTATTGACAGAGCAGTCCCTGAGGATTGTAATATATCGTTAAAGATCTATTAAAACATAAGGATCTTGAAGTGGAAATCCAAAAAAAATGGCACAAGAGGATATCAATAATCGCTGTTGTTGTTGAAGCCCTTGGATTGATTGGATAAGGTAACGATAGAATCATTGAAGTTATTCCTGATAACCCATGCCTTAAAGAATACAAAAAATTGAACTCACAAGTACAGCTCGCACATGACGAAGAGCTTTATCTATGTTAAATGTCTGTGATCTTGGATTTTTTTTTACAAAAAATGATCAGTGGAAAATGAACTCATTTTTTACTTTAGATCTCGTGAAATTAATTTTTACCTAAGGTCTCTGGTTGGAACACGGAAGGTAATGTGTATACAACAGAAATCCAAGGAAATAATAATAATAATAATAATCAGAAGAAGAAGAAGAAATAACTAGAAAGACCAGTTAAAATTTCACGGTTTTCCTATTTTAATTTTATAATCAGTCTTAATTCTTAAGTTAATGACTAAATAAGCTCATGTCAAATTCTACAATAAAATACTCGTAGAAATTTTCCTTATTGCATCGTTAAATATTTGAGCTTAACAATTTAAACAAAATAATAGTAAGGGAGTAAAAATGAAAGGTTTTTAAATTAACAACTTTTCCCTTTCACTAACACAGACGTTAAACACATGAGAATGTTATCGCCTTTTCTAGCCCTTTTTTTTTCTTTTTTCTTTCTTTCATTTTCTCATTGAATCCAAGTAGTATCTCTGATATGTCTTTT